AAGCCCAGAGAGGCCGTGACTGCAGTGACCTGGGGCTGGCAGACAAGGCTTCCTGTCTTGGCTCTGCGTGTCAGATGGCCCCAGAGACCTACTGTGCTGTGTGGATCAGGCACACCCACACCCCCTCTGTGCCTCAGTGTCGGATGCAAAGACAAAGAGAAGAGCTCAGCCTCTAGAGCCACAGTGCTGGGCTCAAATCCTAACTCCCCCGCCTCCTCTCTGAGACTCAAACATTTCTCTTCTATAAAACAGGTATGAGAAGAGAGGGGTCCCCACCTTGGGGGCTGGTGTGACAACCGAATAAGAGGATACACAATATAAGTACATGATATAAGTTACCTGCTGTACTCAAGGTGGGCTTCATAGCTGCCAGGTAGTATTCACATCATCTCAACCAACCACCCATTTCACAGAGGAGAAAACAGAGGCTCAGGAGGCTGGTGACATGACTTCCCAGACATACAGCTAAGGAGCAGTGATGTCACCACTATACTCATGTTTGTCTGATTCCAGAAGCTAAGGTCTTAACTTCTCTAGAAAGTTCTAGAAAGTTCTGGGTTTGAATCCCGACTGTGTCCATCACAACTGTGTGACATTAGGTGAGTCACTTTTCTCTCTGGGCCTCATTTTTTTCTCATCTCAATAAACTGGGATCTGCCTTTTAACACCGTGGGAATCCACAGGAAACTACATGGAAAGTGCTTAGCACGGTGCCCAGGAGGGGACATTGTACATACTCAGCAATTTGTACAAAGGCTGCCAAATTCACATCATCGTCAGGGACAACTTGCTTACCTCTCTGCTCATCAGTGTTTTCACCCATGCAAAGGGCTAATAACAGTAATATCCCATCGGGGAGGTTGTCAGGAATAAATAAGTTACTGTGGGCAAAGCTCTAGCACAGTGCCTGGCACATAGAACCAACTTCATTCATAAGCAGCTGCTATTATTTTTAAAGTTCTGAAGCCTGTTCAAGGCCAACATGAGAAAATAGGGGACCCCAGCCCCCAACTGGCTGTGGCTCCAGGCACTGCCTCTGCTGCCATTTGGCTATTATTAGGCCCTGCGCCCTCATCTCAAATCCAGATGGGCGGCAGGGCTGGGCTTGGCCTGCGGAGGGCTGGGAACACGGCTTGGAGGCCGGGTTTGGGTTTGTGCTCCACCCTGCCTGCCCTCCCTCGCCTGCAGCTGGTCCAGCCGCCACGTTTACACTTGGCTCTGGGGTTGGTGCTGAGGCTCCCTCCCACCGTGGCCGCCTCCTCTGGGAAGGTTCAGAGCATTTCTGCAGCCACAGCACTTTGCTGCCTGCCCCGGGGAAGCCAGGCCTGCGGGGAAACTCTGAATTGGACAGTGCTCGCCTTCAAAGCCTGCAAAGCAGACATCCAGTCTCCTCTCCACACATCCTCGTGCTCCTGATGAGGCTTCCTGGGACCACTGAGGGGGAAGAGCCCATCTACCTGAGTTCAAATCCCAGCCCTACCACTAACATGCTGTGTCAACTTGGACAAGTGACTTCCCCTCTCTGAGCCTCAGTTTCTTTATCTGTAAAATGGACACAATCTTAGCACCTACATCACAGGGCTGGGGTGATAGTTAAATCAATGAATGGTATAGAGTAGGCACTTAATACATGCCAGTTATTTTTATTTCATACTTGGGTGTGCCCGGCCCTGAGGAGGAAACAAAGGTTTGGGAAGCTGGGGACCTGGGGTACAGAGTAGCTCTACCCCTGACTTGCTCTGTGACCTGAAGCCTGTCTCTGCCCTCGCTGGGACTCGGTTACCTACTTGGACCACGAGGTGGGCACTTAGGACTCTGTGATGCCAAGATCCGCCGCTGTATTCTCAAGTAGAGAGAGGGGTTAGTTTAAATTTTTGACAAAACCCCAGCTGTGCGGAGCTCCCAAATGGTGGATGGTGGAGTAGAGTGATTGAGAACAGGGATTCTGGGTTCGAATTGTGTGTGAGGTACCTACGTGGCTTAGCCTCACGAAGCCTGTCCCCTTATCTGTAAAATGGTGGCCCTACCTCTTGGGACTCACTATGTGAGGGTCATAATGATACCAAATTGCCACATATGTCTTATAAGTATGACTGGGAGCCAGGATACAACCCACCGGACGGCGATGACACAGTGCCCCACCTTGAGCCTAGACCTCCTCCCTCCCCAGGCATCGGGGACTTCCCAGAAGTCACAAGTGGTCCAGGCTGGCACATCCAGAACCCTCTCTTTTGTCTATGAGACTAATATCCTGGAGTTCATCGCTGCCCCCTGGGAGTCTCAAGCCCCCTTCCCCTCCTCCTCCAAGGCCGGAAGTTTGTCTGGCACTGCTGCCCAGAGAACACAGCAACTGGATGACATCATGGATGCGACGGCCTTGCCAAACTGGTTTGCCAGACAGGTCCTCAATCCACTCCTGGGACTGCTGGGCATGACCTAGGGGCCTCCAGTTCTGCACAGCCCTTGGATCCAGCCAACCCCAGCAAGAACCCGTTCTTCTCCTCTAGGGACCCTGTGCTCTGGCGTCGCCCTGCCTGACTATCCCTCAACAAGGTCCTCACAGTCCCTCCCTGCCTTTGCTCATGCTGTTCCCTTCTCCAGAACGCATTTCCCTGTCCTCTCCACGTATCAAAGCAAGTGAGGGCTTTGTTCTCTAAAACTTCTAGAGTGGGCTGGGCGCGGTGGCTCACACCTGTAATCCTAGCACTCTGGGAGGCCAAGGCCGGTGCATCGCTCAAGGTCAGGAATTTGAAACCAGCCTGAGCAAGAGCGAGACCCGGTCTCTAAAAAAAAAAAAGCTTCTAGAGTGCAGGTATTGTCTCTCCTCTACCCCCAATGCGCTGTGAGACTCCAGCCCAGGCGCAACTCAGACCCATCTCTAATGCCTCCCCTCCACCTATTGCCCCTCGGACTCTGGGCTCCTTCGTAGCTCCAAGGTTCTGGCCTCAGCTGGCCTCATAGCCGCTTGTGGGCACATCCCAAGATGGGGGTCTCCCTGAAAGTCTTGGAACTTTATGTTGTCCAGGCTGGGGAGAGGAGGCTTAGCGAGCCCAAGGCACAATTCCTCCATTGTGCAGATAGAGAAACTGAGGCTTCAGGAGAGCCAAGCCTTGCCTGGGGTAGAGCCAGGGCTAAGACCCATCCGCCCTTCGTGCCTCCTCACCCCAGGCCTGGGCTTCCTCTGCAGGAGCCCGACTGTGTGGAGGGGGAGCCAGGGTGACTTGGGGACCAACACCAACAGCTTGGTAAATTATTAATTCTCTCCGACTCAGGCTCTGGAGCAAAATGCTACCCTTGGCCCCTAAGCTGCTCCAGCCACTCCCCACTCTACCAGTTCAGGGTAGAACTTGGAAGAATCTGGACCCTGCCTGTTACAGCTCCTTGCTCTAGAAAGGCCTGAAGCCGACCAGTCCAACCACCTCATTTTACAGATGGGCAGACTGAGGCCCAGGCCTCCCCTGTGACCACAAGATACATTCAACCTGTTCACCTGGCATTCAAGGCATGTCACAGATGGAACCACTCCCATTTCCTACTCCACGCCCTGCTCATTCCCCTCCTACCCTCACTCACAAACCTCTCGGTCTTTGCTGACACTGTTCCTCTGCTACAAATGCCCTTCCATGCCTTTCCTCCTCTTCTCTGCGGGGTAAATGTCTTTGCACTCATCTTCAAGGATCAGTTTACATACCACCTCCTCTGAGAAGTCTTCCAGGACTTCCCCCATCTTAGAGGCAGCAAAGTGGAGGGAAGGGGCTTCGGCCGCAGGCAGAACTCCACTGAAATCTGAATGCCATTACCAGTCCAGGGTGCCTTCGCCTTCCTGAGCTGCAACCTCCTCCCCTGTAGAATTGGAGTATACCTGTCTCATGCGATGGCCAACTTGCAATAGAGGGAGTCTCACATCTGACATGTAACAAGTGATTAGTAAATTCCAGGGCCCTCCTCACGGATGTTTACTCTCTCCTGGGCTATGGTTATAAACTTCTCCAGCACCCCACCAGGCTGCCCTTTGATCTTGAGATCACCACCCCTCAGCCCTCCTCAATGCCACTGCCTCTTGCAGAGAGAAAGAGAAAGAAGCAAGCAGGCAGGTCTGGCAATGGAATGGAGCCCTAAGGGCTTGACGGTGGGACAGGACCCACTCATTTCTTTGGTACCTCCAGAGGATAGTGAGCACTTGTGCCTGACTCACCCATGCGATTCCTCTCCCAGCCTGCCTGGGAGGGAACAGGGTGGGGAGAACAAGGCAGAGCTAGCACTGAAGCAGGCCATTCATTGGAGCCTGCAGTTGCCATTCAGGCAGGCCCTAAGAATCTGAGGGGTCCTAGGTGTGCCCCACTTTAAGGGGCCGTCCCCAAGGGGTGTGTACCATTTGAAGTAAGACAGAGTTGGCCTTGTAGGGCACTGACCCTCATTCTGGAGAATAAGATGGCACCTAGGTCAGGTAGAGAGGACCTAGGAACTCAAACTATAGCCTCCAAACTGGGCTCTGTTTGCCCCTCTTCCTGTGTTGGCAAGTGGCTTTCCTCTATACACCTTGGTTTTCCAACATGCAAAATAGGACCACCTCTCAGGGACATGGGGATGAAATGTTATGACACATGGAAAAGAGTTTCAGCATAGATACTGGGCCTTTCCCTAGATAGGGGTGGAGAGTGCCTCAGAGGGTCTGAACCAGGGCTCTTCTGGGACAACAGGCTGAAACCATCTCCCCACAATCCCACATTATAGTGGTTGAAAAGATTCTGGACTCAGAAGAATCTGGGTATGAATTACAGCTCCACTACCTAGAAGCTATTGTCCTCATCTGTAAAATGGGACAATAATCCTGGTCTCATATGGTTGTTATTTGGATTATATGCTTGATACATGGCAAATACAAGATACATGAGTCGATATTATTATTATTGTTTTTATTTGACAAACAGGACTCCAGATCCTATCCACCCCTTTCGGTCTCCATGGAGACACGTGGGTGGCTTTAAGGCCTCCAGCACTGGAGGTGGAGTAGCTCTTCCCAGTAGGTCTGAGATTTTGGGTCGTCTGGCTAATTCTTTGTTTGATCCTGGACATGTCACCTCTCCCTGGGCCTCAGCTTCCCCCATTTGTTGAATGATATTCCTAACGTAGGAGTCCAGCGCTCCAAGAGGCAGACCCTGAGGGCTTGGATGGGAGAAGCATGCTAGGTGGAGGCAATGTCTATGCAAAGATGTGTGGACTTGGTAAGGCGTGCGGGGAGATTGCTCCTGCTCCACCTGACATGATCCTGGCACTCCAACACCAGTCAAGGTGCTGCCGGTCGCTCAGTTCCTGCTCTGAGGTGGCCGGGACCAGGTGTCCCGAAAGCAGCCTGCGGGCGGCGGCCGAGCTTAAGCAGTGACGCGAGAAGAGGGTGGAGCCGAGGGAGGGGACGTGGTCTCACGAACAAAGAGGAGGGCGGAGAGGGGCTGTCCTGAAGGCTCTGGCACGCGTATGATCCCAGGCCAATTCCACCCCTGCTCCCGGAGCCCTCCTCGACTTCAGCACGGAACTTGCGTCCTCCTGCCGACGTCCACCGAACCCACCAAAGCCAGCGCTGCAGCCGCCCCAAGACTACGGCCCCTAACATCTTTGGCCCGCGCGGGGCGGGGCCTTCCTTCGGGGCGTGGCCATCAAATTGAATTTCCCCAATGGGGTACGACGGTGGGCGGCACCCACCCTAGGATTGGCTGGTGCGGCGGGGTGGGGCGGGGCCAGCGGGACGGCTGGCGCGGCTGGACAGGCGGCTCCACAGAGAGTCCAGGGGACGGTTGCTGAGCGGGCCAGGGACACCGGGTCGCGGCGCCTCCCGCCTGCCCGCCTCTAATCCATCTGCCGGGTCCCGAGCAAGCTAACCCGAGCCCGCGCCAGACGGGTGGGCTGGACCGAGAGGTGGGTGTGCCGACCTCGGGGGTGGGGGGGTTCCGGGGGGTGGAACCCGGATATCTGGACAGAGGTTCTGGAACTCCCAGACCTGGGAACCTCCACCTAGCTACAGGAGCTCTAAGCCATGGGATGAAGTTCTGCGCCCCTCGCAGAGGATGCCCGCGGACCTCCAAGAGGCTCCACGCCCCCCAGGAGTGCCAGTCTGTGGGGCAGATACGCTGGAGAAACTCCCACAGAGCCCTGAGACCCCCCACAATGTCCAGCGACCCTAGACTGTGTGACAGGAAGCCATGGGACTGGGGAGGGGAATCTCTGAGGAAGATTCCCAGCCACTTACAGTCCCCTGGGTGTCCTAGATCAGGCGCTAGTGACCCCTGCGCCTCAGAAAAAAAGACAAGGGCGAATCAGAATATCCATAGATGCCAAGCATGGTGACCACTGAGCTGAGGAGGTTTACCCCAGGCAAAGTAGGTAGATAAGAGAGGAGGACCCTAACAGACAGGTTGGGAGACTTATACCCATCTGAGCCTACCACCATGGGGGAGGCAGGCAGTGACTTGAACAGGCAGGGTCCCACATACCCAACTGTATGGTTTAGTGGCCCCCCCAGACCCATTCACCAGATGGGGTGACTTGCCAAGTGACTGTTCTGAAGAGGGGGAAGGGATGATTGAGGGATGAATCAACAGAAGTTGTGTGAGCGTGCTCGAGTGTGTGTATGTGTGTGGGGGGTGATCCTAGAGCCATTTCAGTCATCATACGTCTACTACTGCAGTGTCCCAGGCCATGGGCAGTCAAATTCCGGAAAGGCATTAGGGCTACAGGAGGAAGGAGAGAGCTGCACTGGGAGGCTGGGCCAGGATTTAGGGGTCCATTTTGACAGGCAGTGATGGGACAAGAGGGAGTGTCCTGGGCCCTCAGGGACACTTTGGAAGAGGACCTCAGAAACTAGAAGTGACCAAGATTTTAATTAAATCCCTCCCTGCCCTCTGAGTCTTTGAGTTCTTCCTTCCCCTGTGACAAATCCCTGGCCCTCTCAGATCTTCTCAGTTTGTCTGAAATCCAGAGGTTGGGCGGGTCAGCTTCTGAAGGCCTTTCCAGCTGGGGAATTGAATTTTAAGTGTGTGAATTGGCAGGAGGCTCTGGGTGCCTGGAAACCTGGCTTCATGCGGTCAGGACAGTTAGCATGGGGAGGGCAAGGATGGGAGGTGTGGAGAAGGGTGTGTGCGGAGGGCTGGCTCCAAGAATTGGGAGACACAGTGTACCTCCTATACCTGGGGGAAAGAGAGTGATGGTGGCAGCAAAGACTTGGAAATGTGCTCAGCCCACAGCCAGAGGCTGAGCTTTGGAGTGGGTGGGGGCTGGGTAGGCCTTGGGGATGGGTGGGTGGGGCAGGAAACTGTGGAGACTGGTGTGCACCCCCTGGTGGTGAGCACAGGTTGGGTGGGCCTTGCTGGACCCTGGCTTCTCAATCCAGGTCCCCGCCTCCCTGTTTAAGGCTTAGACAGGATGCGAACCCAGCCTAGCCCAGGCCACACAGCAGACTGGCAGCCGAGTTGGCAAGGCTGGAACGAGGGACCCCTACTTTGGTTTGGTGAGTTTTCCAGCAAACCACCCTAGGGCAGAGGGCAACTCAAAAGCAGCCAGGAGCCACATTACAGGATGGCACAACAAGGGATGCTCATGTGTTAGAGAGGGAAACTAAGGCATAGAGCCCAAATGCCTGTGGTTTCTAGATCTGATTCATGTCTGTCCCTTGCAGAATCCTCTGAGCTGGTGACAGGTGCTACAGGCACTGGGGACGGACAGAGCTAGGGGCCCTCGAGATGGCGGACGAGGCTTTAGCTGGGCTGGATGAGGGAGCCCTTCGGAAGCTGGTAAGTGATCCCAACACCCCACTGTGGGGACGGGTGGCAGAGGCAGGGCTGATCAGGGCTACCTTTCAGTTGGCAAGAAGAGGTAGTGGGGAGGGGCTGGGGGAACAGGAGTATGCCGCCTCCATGTGGCTGAAGCAGAGGCCTCTGTGGCATGTGCTTGTCCATGCCAGGTGCTGAAGCCTGGTCCCTCCCAGCCCCCCACTGCCACCACCTGTTTAAATAGTAACTGCTGGTGACGCGCCCATGTGCAGCCGCAGGTGTGGGCAGGCTAAATCTGCCTCTCCCAAGCAACAGCCTGAGCAGTGCCCACCCCCGGAAGCTGGTCCAGTGATAATAGTAGCAGCAATGATTAATAATGCCAGGGCATGGTGGGGGCAGGCTGGGTAATGGTGCACCATCTCACACAATGGTCACAGCAGCTCTGAACGCCAGGACACTGTGACTCAGGCGAAATCACCTGCCTAAGGGCACCCATCTAGGAAGAAACTGCACCAAGATTCAAACCCCAGAGGGAACCTTGGGGGACTAAGAATCTTGGGAAAGTCAAGGCTGGAAGAGCCCATAGAGAGACAAAGGCTTTGTGGGCCCTTATGGGTTCTGTGACTTCTAGTCTGTCATTTTTCTGCTGAGTCTCAGTTCCTTTACCTATAAAGTGTGGGGGTGATGTGCAGGAACACAAAATCTAGGTCCTAGGGTTAGCACCGGGACGGAATGAAGCATGGGCCTAGATCTTGGGGTGGAGGGAGGATGAAGGCCACTCCATCCCCTTTCCCCTGCTTCTTCCTGAGTGCCCTATCTGCCCCTAAGCACAGGAAGGCTATAGGCCAACATAGCAAGGCAGGGATGTGCCCACCAGCAAGACCAGGCAGCAGCTGACCTGGAGGAGGGGCCAGAGCACCACCCCTCAGCCCCTGACCCTTGTCCAGGCGGTGAATTAAAGATTTACCTTCCCTAGAAAATAAGTGACCTATCCTACCCCTATTCCGTTTTCGTGGAGGCAGAGGCTGGAGCTAGCCAGCCTAGCCTAGCCACTGTGCAGTGCCCAGTTACTGCCATGACCTCTCTAAGGCAGGTGGCCGGTGTGTTCTCTGGGTGTCTGCCACAGCCTGGAGAGGAGAGTGCCCACCAGTCAGCTCCACCTCCCCTCAGGAAGCCCCACTCCTAAGGGGGGCAGTAGAGGCAGAGCGTTCCAAGCAGAGGGAGAGCCAGGCCAGGTCCCCAAGGATCCCCATCTCTAGGGGTCCTCCCTCAGCCACAGGGTTCTCCAGCCGACCCCCCCCCTCATGCGAGGTTTGGGTGCTGGAAAGGGGTTTCAGAGAAGTAGCTGGAGCGGCAGTTGACATCAGCCCACTCCCGCCCCATGCCCCCCTCTTTGGGAAAGGGCACATGAGCCCCTGCCCCCTGTGCCGAGACCGAAGTGCCTTCCAGGTCTTTCCCACCGACCGGCTCCTCCAGCACCCGGCCCCGCCGTGGCTGCGCCCCGGGGCTGCCGAGGGTCCCGCCCCGCGCGCCGGCCCTGCCTCCGCTGGCCTCGTGGCAGGGCCGGGCGTCCGAGCCGGGCTCCTCCCCGCGGGGCCGGGCCTTATAAGGGAAAGCTGGGCCCGCTCCGCCCGCCTTGGAGCGCAGCGTCTGGCGGATTCGGTACGCGGGCAGTGGCTTCCGTCCGGCTCCCGCACATTCCTGAGCACTGGGCAGGGGGCTGCGCAGAGTGGGGACGCGCACGCCACGCGCCTCTCCACCACCACCCTCCGCCTCTGTCCTGGGTTCGAGTTCAGGCTCCGACACTCGCTAGCTAGGTGACCTGGGGAAGCGGCTTAAGTTCTGTGAACCTCGGTTTCCTCCGCGTAGACCCAGACATTAAAGAAGGCGGTAGCGGGGTCTTCCTGTCTGGCTAAGGCTAGACTCCTAGCGCAGGGCCGAGGGGGACAGGCGGCGCCGGTGCCCTGCGGGGGTGGGCCGCTCCCGAGCCTGCGAGCCCACGGCGCCCCCTGGCGAGACCTTGCTCCGCTGCTGGCTTGTCACCCGTGGACGAGTGGGGGCGCTGGGACTGAGAGAACGCCTGGAGAATCACCTCTGTTGTGGGGAGACTGAGGCCCAGAGAGACGCCGGGGCCTGCCTGACGTCCCCAGCAGCGAGGGCAGAATGTAGCCGGAGGCCCAGCCCCCCGGGAGGAGGAAGCACCCTCTTTCCTCCCGGGAGAGTTTCACTGGGCAGTTTAGGAAGCCGCCCCATCCTCTTCCCCTTCCCCCTCGGCGGACAATGGCGCTTTGTACTTCCTTCCCTCCCTCCCACAGCTCGCTCCTTACACAGCAGGGACACTGTGGTCCAACCTTTGCCTCCAGGCCCCCGGGGAAGGGTCATGCCAGAGGGTGACCCGTGGAATGAGGCCGTGGGCCCCCAGCCTTGCCCCGCCCACTTGAGGGGGATCAGAGGGAGGCTCCCATTTTTCAGATGGGGACGTAGAAGCTCCAGGAGTTGCATTGCAGAGGTGGCCACGGTCTCACATCAGTCTTTTTTCAGGGACAACGACTTCATCTGTGGAGCCCAGAGAGTGGGAATGGGGACTCAGGAGACAAAGGGCTAGTCATTGCACCTCTGGGCCTCTTTAGCCTCTGACAGGAGGGGCTGGACCAGCCGTCCCCTCTGGCCCCCAGTCTCTAAATGTACCACTGGGGGCTCTGGGACTGAGGCCAGGACTTCAGGCTGGGGAGGAGAGCCTCATTCTCCATTTCTCTGCTGTAATAGGTTCCCTTAGGCTTCAACACATCTCTAGTCCAGGATAGTGGGGTCCCCAACACAGTGTCAGGGTCCTCAAGGTCCCCACCATGATAAGCAGACTCCAGGAGCAGGCCCTGGAGTCAAAGAGACCTAGGTCCAGGTCATTTAACCGTGAGCGAATCATTTCTCCTCCTCAGTTTCCTCATCTGTCAAATGGTAATAATAAAGTAGGGTTTGGGGGAGGTTAGGACAAGTGGGGGTCTTAGCACAGGCCCTGACACATAGTTTCTCAAGAATGTGACTGATGCCTCTGGGTGTGCTGTTTTTTCCATCTGCCCTGTCCTCTGTCTCAGTCCTCCTGACTGGCTAGAACTAAGTGGGGTGGGTGCTCATTGCATCTGCACCAATGTCACCGCTAGACCCCTAGTCTCTGCTCCTATTCCCACCCACTGCCCTAGGGCTGGAACCAGCTGGGGGTTCTGGCCTGAGTCTCAGGGACCCTCCCATAGGTCCTCAGGAATGTGGAGCCCGGAGGGCACTGGCCCCAGGGTTCTTCCCACTCTCTTCAGCCTAAGACAAGTTGACTCATGGCTAAGTTGGGCTGCCTCACCTCCCTGCTGAAACCTATCAATCCCCACCACTGCCACCTGGCTAAGCAAAAAAGGAATGATTGGGGAGGGCTGCTAAAAAGGAAGGGTCCTGAGGGTTCTTTGGCCCTACACTGAATGATTTGGGGGCTGGGGGCAGAGGAGATAACCCTGCCTTTGCTCGGTCCCATCTGGCTATCAGACCCCTACTGGGTGTGGGTCTGCCGAGTGGAGGTGTGGGCGAGGCAACAGGATTGGCTGACTCAGGCCAGAGAAGTTGCTCTTTCCTGGAGCTAGTTAGACCAGCCACCTCCAATTTGCCAGGACTGAGGGGCTGAGGAGCTGGTGGGAGCACCTGTCACCCATGAATGCCCTCTCTAGGACGCTGGGTGGCTCCTGATGCCAGCTGCCTTATCTTGCTGGGGGAATGGCTCTTCCCTCCCCCCCGGCCCCCGGGACCTGGCTCCTTCAATGGTGGCTAGGGCTAGGCCAGGGGAAAAAATAGCCCTCAGACAGGCAGGAAGCTAGGACTCCTAAGCACCTGCCCCTACCTCAGTTTCCCCATCTGTGGATGAGGCAGCCAACCCCCAGGAGAGCTGCATGCTTTGGGACTCGACCATGAGAATCTCCCTTACTCACAGGGTGGACGCCAGCTGTCTGAATCAATCCCCCTTTGCTCTCCACAGACTCTGTTAGTGACCCACAGGGTCCCTCCTCCTGCAAGGGCTCTCGGAGGTTTGATGAAGGGCTCTGAGGGGCAGGAGTCGAGTTGCAGGAAAGAGTGCCTGGCCCAGCACCTGGCACAGGTGGGCGGTTGCTGGCTGCCCACTCACAGTCAGTGCTCTGAGACTCACAAAGCACAGGGGGTTTCCCATCAGCCCTGACGCAGGGAGCTAGGTTTCCCCCTGGGATCCTGGGTGGGCAGGCGGGCACGTGAAGGGCTTGGGGCAGAGGCAGTGGAGACAGGCCACTCATTGTGCCCCAGGGAGAGCCGTGGGCAGCTGGTGCCAGCCCTCCACCCCTAGTGGCCAAAATGCCCTGCCCTTCGCCCACCCCCACCCCCCGCCCTGCAGCTGGAGGTCACAGCAGATCTGGCAGAGCGGCGGCGCATCCGCTCAGCCATCCGGGAGCTGCAGCGGCAGGAGCTGGAGCGCGAGGAGGAGGCCCTAGCATCCAAGCGCTTCCGTGCAGAACGGCAGGACAACAAGGAGAACTGGCTGCAGTGAGTGGCGGGGGTTGAACATGGGGATGAGAGGGTGAGAGGCTCAGCTCATGTGTGCAGACAGGTGTGAGCACAAGCGTGTCTACTGACTCTGTGTGCAAATAGCAGCATGTGCATGCTTTTGGAATACACAGGGGTGTTTGTGGGCATGGACTCTGTGCTAGTCGTGGTGTCTGGGCCACGCTGGTGTGGACAGCATGTCTGAGCATGTGGTATCAGTGCCCACATCCATGGGCATGCATGTATCAATGTGCACAGCTCCTGCCCTTCTGCCAAGGTTCAGGGTACTCTGTTCTGGCCACTAGCCCGTATCTTCCACGACCTGGCCATGCCAACGGTGGTTACGGTCATGATGTCTCCGCAGCTCTCAGCAGCGGGAAGCCGAGCAGCGGGCCGCCCTGGCACGGCTGGCAGGGCGGCTGGAGTCCATAAGTGATGTGGAGGAGCTGACCACGCTGGTGAGGCCCAGGCCCGGGCAGGGGATAGGGAAGGGCAGGTGAAGACCTGGACCTCACAGCCCAACACCCGTGGCCTGCGTCTCACCCGCAGTTGCGAAGCGCCGGTGAGTATGAGGAACGCAAGCTGATCCGAGCCGCCATCCGCCGCGTCCGGGCTCAGGAGATTGAGGGTAGGTGCCCTGTCCTGGCCCCGCCTCTGCCCTTTTGCCCACAGCACCTCCCAGCCCCTCGCCTGACACTTGGCCCCTCTCTTCCAGCGGCCACCTTGGCTGGGAGGTTGTGCAGTGGGCATCCCAACAGTGGCTCGAGAGACGACAGCAAGGGGCGGGCAGCACGTAGGCTGGAACGGCGTGAGGTACGGAGCGTGGGCAGGGGGGGAGGGTGGCCCAGCGCCCTGTGCTCACAGATGCCCATAGCACAGAGGCCTGTGTCTTTGCTAGACTGGTATTTAAATGTGAAGGGGGGACCCCCAGCCTGTGTCTGGGGGACATGGGGCCTCTATCTCAGGCTTCTGCCCACTCTTCTGGGCAACCTGTGGCCACATGTCCCCTACTCCAGACTTTTTCTGTACCCAGGCCTTCCCCACAAAACCAACCTGTCTACACTGCTCCCAAATTCCTGTCCCTTTCCCATCACCATGCTTTTTGGTACTTCTCCCACCTCCACTCCTACCTTCCACCCCCACTCCTGCCGTCCAGTCTCCCCCTGCTGCAGAGGGATCTCCCGGAAATGCAAATCTGGCCCTGGTACCTCCCCTGCTTAAACCCATCCCAAGGCCGCCCCTCACCCATCCGGACAGACCACATCCTTACCTTGGCTTAGTGGGGTCTGGGTGTCAGCTGATTCTTGGAGCACCCTCCACAGAGCTGTCTCTTGTTCTCCAGGGAGTATGGGTGAGAGGTCAGGCCATGCAGTTCCCTATGTGGCCAGCAGAGGCCGCTGGGTCTACGGTCCTGGCAAGACCCCACCCCAACTCCCTGATTAACTGGGCTGAGACAGGGGTCGGGAAGCTCTGCTGTCCCCAGCAGGTCTCCTACCATCCCCAGCTACTGACATTAGGACCCCGCCTCTGGAGACCACCTTTGGCTAGGCAGTGCCAAGAGATTGGGAAGTGGGGATCAGAGACTGCCCCTAGCGTGCCAGTGCTCATGCATGTGCAGGTGTGCCCACAGGAAGCCATGCCCAGCCCCTCTGCTTTGCATGCCCCACCCTGGGCACCTGCCAGCCTGGCCCTCAGTGGGTGGGGGCAGCACTTGAGACTCGGAGAGCCCTGGTTGCAGCCTATGGGTTCTTTGCAGGTGCCAGAGCGAGAGGAACGGGAGCAGCAGGCAGAGGTCCCAGAGTCAACCCCAACCCCTGAGGGCACCAGCCATGATGTGACCACAGTGACACTCCTGCTGCGAGTCCCGCCGGGGGGCACACCCAGCTCACCTGCCTCACCCAACAGTTCACCCACCGCTGCCTCTCCTGAGCCTCTGCTGGAGCCTGCCGAGGCCCATTGTCCTGCAGCTGAGGCTCCAGGCAGCCCGGAGCCACCCCCCAGCCCACCCAAGGCCACCAGCCCTGAACCCCAGGAGTCTCCAGCACCCCCCAGCACTGAGAGGCCAGTGGTCAACAAGGTGAGTGTGGACGAGGGGCAGGGATGCCAGGCAGGTGAGCTGGGTCTGGGAGTCAGGCCCTGCCCATGCCATGTCTTCCCTGCAGCTCCTGTCTGGTCCCACAGAGCCCCCTGCTGCCCAGAGCCCTACCAGAGGCCCCTCTGACACCAAGAGAGCAGGTGAGGGTCTCAGCGGGGGTAGCAACAGGCATCTGCCTTTCCCTCCCCCAGCCTCCCTTTCCCTGCCTGGAGAATGGGCTCTTGTGCCTGGACAGCTCCAGCCTTCTCAGGTCCAGGCAGTCCTTGGCACTCTCCTTCCCCCACCCCCTCCTCCACCCCTGAAGGTGTCCCCGCCCCAGCCAGGCCCACCCCCCCATGGCCGGAGGCCTCCCTGCAGCCTTGAAAGGCAATGGGCCTCAGGCACATTCTTTTCCCCAATAAGGGAGTGCGCCCATCTCCCAGCAGGAGCCGTGGGCAGCGCTGGCCAGGGGGGTTGTCCCCCATCCCCACCGGCAGGAGGATCTGGGCACCCTTCCTCCAGCCCAAGCCTAGCCCCGGCCCCCAGGAGTGTCCAGGTCATCCTGGGGTCAGTGCGGGAGGGGAAGGAGGTGCTCCTAGGAGAGATGCAGCTGTGTGGGAAGGAGGGGTGGGGAGGCCGGGGAGCTTGGGTATGGGAAGGGGCTGGGGGCTAGGGAGGTGTGCAGGAGAGGAATGTGAGGGGTGGACTCCCCCAATCTACTGTCCTTTCTCTTCCCCCACATGGCTACCACCCCTTCCTGAACCTGCCAGACCAGGCTGGATCCCGACCCTGCCAACGCTCCCTGTCTGTGCTCACTCCCCGCCAGCCAGCCCAGAACCGAGGTACTGCCTATTGTCACCACCTCCAACCTCTGGGCAGTCCCTATCCCACCCAGCCACTGACAGCCCTCCTGTCCCTTTTACTAGAGTCCACCCCACTGGCCAGTGGACCTTCCCCGTTCCAGCGGGCTGGCTCTGTGCGTGACCGCGTCCGCAAGTTCACATCGGATTCTCCTCTGGCTGCTGGGCTCCAGGACGGCCCAGTCCGCGCTGCCCTAGGTTCCCTGACCCCAACAAGGCTCCTGGGCCCCTCCCTCACCAGCACCACCCCTGCCTCCTCCTCCAGCGGCTCCTCCTCTCACAGTCCAAGTGACACCTCCTCTCGGTCCAGCAAGGAGCAAGGAGGAACAGCCCGGCCCCTGGGCCAGCTTCAGAGCTGCCCCCGGGAGGACAGCCCCAGTGGGCGGGGCTCAGCTGCCAGGTCCCTTGAAAACGCAGCAGGGGGGGCCGTGGCCCGCTCAGAGGAGTCCAGTGCCCCGCTGCCCGTGGCCATCGGCACCGCCGAGCCAGGGGGCAGCATGAAGACCACATTCACCATTGAGATCAAGGATGGCCGTGGCCAGGCCTCCACAGGCCGGGTGCTGCTGCCCACAGGCAACCAGAGGGCAGGTAGGCCTCCCCACTGCCCCCTCACCGCCGGGCATGGGTGCCTGCAGCCTCGGCTGCACGTGTAGGACAGGCGCTGCAGCCAGGGCTCAGGTGTCTCCAAAGGGTACACAGGGAATGAGGGGTGCCATCAGGCTTGGCTGGCACTGCCCCAGCCCACCTGATCCTGACAGCAGCCCCTCTCCCCACCCAGAACTGACGCTGGGGCTGCGGGCGCCCCCCACCCTCCTCAGCACCAGCAGTGGGGGCAAGAACACCATCACGCATGTGAGCGGCCCTGGGACCCTGGCCCGGCTGGGCAGTGTCACTCACGTCACCAGCTTCAGCCATGCCTCCCCTGGTGGCAGAGGAGGCAGCGGCATTAAGGTGAGCCCCTCCTCACCCCACCTGCCACACCATCCGTCAACCTCACATAGAACCTTTAAGCGTGTAGGGCTAGCAGGGTTCCTCTGCTCTGCTCCTCCCCGTGCACACACAGGGAAACTGAGGCTGCTCACCGTCCACAGCCAACTGGTGATAGAGCCAAGGCTAGACAGACCCTAGTGTATCAGCCACTAGGTTTGTCAGACACCACTTTATACTGGCCTTAAGTTTCTCATGTGCTGATGTCTGATCCTTCTTCTGAAATGGGTTAATTCATTCCTAATGAACAGATGGGAAAACTGAGGCTCAGAGAGGGTGGAAGGGGCTTGCTCCCGTCTTCCTGTGGCAGCTCCAGTGCCCCTGTTCCTACGCTACTCTGGACATCCGCCTTGAGGTGTAGAGCAGCTCAGTCTGCTCATCCAAGATCAGCCTGGCCCATTAGGAGATTGGAGATTAGCGATTAGCATCTGCGTCAACCTCCCCGTGGGGGTTGGGCGGAAGCATGGATGGGGACAGGCAGGCAGGGGGACGCCAATCAGGTGAGGCAGCAGCCGAGCAGGTGCCACGGGAACTGAATACGCAGCACCCTTCCATTATTCATTCCCGAGCCCCGGACCCACCAGCTGGTTGCTCAGCCGGGGACAGGGATCCCAGCGAGCCACCCGGCTGCCCAGGTAATGCCCTCTATGCTGAACTGGGGACAGAATGGGACTTTGGCCAAGGTGAGATGGCTAGAGCCAGATTTGGGCCTTTTAAGGGTGACAGGAAGAGAATGAGGACAAGAAAATGCCCTTCCTCCAAGAAACCAGGACTCAACTGCCCTCTGCCAAGGGGTTGTGGGGCGGGGGTACCAGCTGAGGCCCCTGAGGTGCCACGGTGAGACCTGGGTCTGACACCAACAACTTGCCTCAGTTTACCCATCTAGCACCAAGGGGAAACAGATGATATGCCTATAATGTACTTGCTCACAGTCTGTGGCTGGATCTGAGCACCATAGCAGGCCAGAGAACATTTATCTCAGACGTTTGTCTCAGACTGAAACAGTTGCTACAGCAGATTGCTGAAAGTCCCCCCTCCCTGGGCCTCACCTCCCCCGTCTGAAACAGCACTGCATGAGGGCAGAGGAGTGCAGGCTCTGGAGTCTGGCAGACTGGATCTTTCTGGCTCACGTATGCAGTGGCTCATATAGGCCCATCCCCTGTTCCCTGCCTCAGTTTCCCCACCTGGGAGGCATGGGGCTGCACTGGTCTCAGTCATCCTTCAGAAGCCATGCAGTCTTGCTGTGCTGCGGGTCTGTGATCACTGCAGAGCTAGCGCCAGGCCTGACGCTTGGGCAGGCCACCCCTCCCCCACTGCCCCTTCCACAGTGGAGCCCAGAATAGGTTTCTATTTGGGCCACCGCTCCAGCTGGCTGGTGGTGGGCCGGGAGGCCGGCAGGGGCGGGGCAGGCCCGCTGCCCTTGCCTTCGCCCTCAGACCAGCTGCAAAGACTCAGACACTGGCAGCCCGAGGCAGCAGCCCCTGCACCATCCCACCGTTACCCCCTGCAGAGACCCCACCAAAATCATGCCGGGGGTTCCAGGGCCTGGGCCTGAGCTGGCTGCAGCCCTGGAGGAGCATTTGGGCCGGGCCTTGGAGGAACTGCACGCAGTGGCTGAGGCAGGCCGGGTGGCAGTGACCCAGGCAGCCGAGGCAGCTGTGGCGGCCGTGGAGCCAGTGGCCCAGGCAGCCGAAGAGCTGCGGGCGGAGACGGTAGCACTGAGCCGGCGGCTGGACGCGCTGGGCAGGCAGGTGGAGGTGCTGAGCCTACGGCTGGGGGTCCCACTTGTGCCCGACCTTGAGCCTGAGCTGGAGCCCAGCGAGCTGCTCCTGGCTGCTGCAGACCCCGAGGCCTTCTTCCAGGCAGCCGAGGATGCAGGGACCCCCGTAGCCCACCCACCTGCCTTCAGCACCCGCCGCCGCTCCTCTGCCGGCACTGCCCGCAGCAGCAGTCTTGTAAGTTCCTCTGGGCTGTGGGACAGGGTGGTTTTGAGTCAGGTTCTGCCTTTACTGAGGGACCTTAAGTGTGTCACCACCTTCTCTGAGCCTCAGTTTACCTATCTGTACTACAGGGGACTGGGGTGCTCCCAGACTGAGGCAAGAAGGTGCCAGGCTTCAGCCCTGAGGCACGAATGGCCCAGCCCCCCGTCCCAGGCCCACCCCCCCACGCTGGCCAAGCCTCCCTGAAACAGCTGCCACCTCGGCTCTCCTTACCCTTGTAGCAGACAGACAGGCTCTGCCAAGAGGGGAGAGGCTGTAATATTTGGGCTGGGGCCTTGTCTTCAAGGGGCTAGGAGATGCCTTGGGAGGAGTGGGGGGCTAGGTTGAGGCTGGATGCCCCTTAGAGGATGGGTCCCAGCAGGGATCAGTGGGGGCAGGTGATACCGAGGAGAGCGTCAGTGAGATCTTGGCTCGGGGCAGCCCCAGTCAGACACCTGGTCAGGAGCCTCTGGGCCCTGGTCCAGCCCTCTTGGCGAGGGAGGTGGGGGGCATGTGCTGCCCAGGCACTGGCCCAGAAGACCCAGGCCTCGGGAGCTGGCAGGATAGAGCAGAGCCTGCCTGGGAGGGGGCTGGGAGAGAAGCAGCAGAAAGAACTTGGTTCAGGAGTTAGGCTGCCTTCAGCTCAGACCCCAGACTGCATGGAACTTATAGAGGGACTGAGGGCAAGTCATTCAGCTGCCCTGAGCCTCAATCTTCCCTTCTGTGAAATGAGGACTGTAAAATCCCTTGTGCTTATACAACACTTATTACTGAATGGAAATCATTATTACTGCCACTGTCGATTATAATAATACAATTTTGGGTATGTGGGAAACCCTGCCCCAGCCTGTCAATATCTCTTCCCTGAGCCTGACACCAACATGGCCATCCTTGGGCAGGCAGCCTGGCGGGCTAGTGGTTATTTGCAAGGCTGTGCCAGCAGCCCCAGGATCTGGTGCCCTGTCCACAGTGGACATGGTGGGTTTCACCTATGCCCCTGCTTAAAGTCAATGCCCTCTCCCCACCCGCAGATGGAGCCGGAGCCGGCGGAGCCTTCCTCAGCGGCGGTGGAAGCGGCCAATGGTGCGGAGCAGAGCCGGGCGGACAAAGCGCCAGGTGGGCGGAGCCCACTGAGTGCCGAGGAGCTGATGGCCATCGAGGACGAGGGCGTGCTGGACAAGATGGTATGGCTGGATCTGGTGGGCTGGGGTTGGCAGGGGGCAGGGACCAGCAGGCACCAGGTGGGCGATGACAGGGCTTCTATGTGCAGCTGGATCAGACCACAGACTTTGAAGAGCGGAAGCTCATCCGGGCCGCACTGCGTGAGCTCCGACAAAGGAAGAGAGGTACAGAGCCAGTGCCCTGCCTGGATCCAGCTGCCCCTGCCCCAGCCGCTCCCCTCACTCTCCGGGGTCTGCTTGTGGACACTGCAGCCCGAGAACTGCCCTGCCCAGCTTCTCTCGAGACCCGGCTGCTCCCTTGCCTCCTTCCCCTTGGAGCCAGCTGCTCCCTTGCCTAGCTGCTTCCCTTCCCCTGGTCACCTTAGCCTCGGCCCCCTCCCAGCTTCTCCTTTCCCGGACTCAGATACTTCCTCCCCCAGATACCTCCTGCCTGGACACAGCTGTTCTTTCCCTCAGATTCTAGATCATTTACTTCTCCAAATAGTCTGTTACTCCTCCTGTGAATCTAGCAGCTTCCTCCAGGGCCCACTGATGGCTACCCCAGCCTCCATGCCCACCCACCTTCTTTTTCTTTAGGCCCAGTTAACCCACTTCACCAGCTTCTCTCCCAACTACTCCTTCCCTGGACCCAGTTGCTTCTCAGATCCCTCCAATTACTCCCTCCCTGAGTCTAGAGATTCCTTCCTCTAGCTGCTCTTCTCCCCCTCAAAGACCTATTTGATGATCTGCTCAGCTACTGCCGTCACCCAGCTTCTCCTTCCCTGGACTCAGCTACTCCCTCCCTGGATCTAGATACTCCCTCCTGACTCAGCTACTCATTCCCATAGAAATTCCCTTCTTGGGTCCAAAGAGTCCTTTGAGTTCAGCTATTCCATATTCCCTGGTTCCTGCCTGAGCCCATCGCTCCCTCCCACACCTCACTCCCTGCCAAGTTATGGCTGGTCCCTCACTCCCACTGCTCCTAGAGAGGCCCTTGTCACCTGTGTCATTAGTGTTTCTAACAAGCCGCCCTCCCTCCCATCTTGTGTGTCCCCGTGCGGTGCGTATGTGCTGTGTGCGCATTGGGCGGCCTTTCTGCGCATGCGTGGGGCACCCCCACCCAGACCAGCGGGACAAGGAGCGAGAACGGCGGCTGCAGGAGGCTCGGGCCCGGCCAGGGGACAGCCGTGGCAACACAGCCACCGAGACCACCACGCGGCACAGCCAGCGGGCGGCCGATGGCTCAGCTGTCAGCACTGTCACCAAGACCGAGCGGCTCGTCCACTCCAGTAAGGGGCCAAGCAGAGCTCAGGGCTCAGGGTGGCCACATGTCCTCCCTGTGACCCCGTATGCCTCTCACATCCTCTTCTCACCCCCTGCCCCTCCAGATGATGGCACCCGGACGGCCCGCACCACCACAGTGGAGTCGAGTTTCGTGAGGCGCTCAGAGAGTAAGGCTGCCCGGCGTCCACCTGCGCCCGCTGCCGGCCCCCTCGGCCTCCTCCTCGAGCTCTCTCTCCGTGTCTTCGACTCTGCTGTCCCTCTCTCTTCTCCCCCTGTGGCTATCACCATCCTTTCGCACGGCGTCCCACCCCTCACCCGGCTCTCCTTGCCCTTTTTTGCAGATGGCAGTGGCAGCACCATGATGCAAACCAAGACCTTCTCCTCCTCCTCCTCATCCAAGAAGATGGGCAGGTGAGCACGCGCACCCACTTGCAGACCACAAAGGAGAGAGCGCCACAGGAGGGCTCACTGTGTACCCATTCTGCAGAAGGGTAGACTGAGACGCTAGGAGGTGACAGGCATAGAGCCAGGGAGAAGCAAAGTCAGAGCCCTCACCTGCTCACTTTGTGATCTCACTTAATCCTCAGCCACACCACGGGAAGGTGGATGCTCAGGGAGCCCAGAGACTTGCCTAGGGTCCCACAGCTCTGAGTGGCAGCTATGGCACTGAACCTGTAGAGAAGCCCGCCTGCCACAATGAGCTGCCTGGTGACACTGCCACTTCCCAATGTCTGCAAACCACGTCGTAGATCACACAGCACCTTTTTTTTTTTTTTTTTGAAACAGAGTCTCACTCTGTTGCCCGGGCTAGAGTGCTGTGGCGTCAGCCTAGCTCACAGCAACCTCAAACTCCTGGGCTCAAGCGATCCTGCTGCCTCACCCTCCTGAGTAGCTGGGACTACAGGCATGCGCCACCATGCCCGGCTAACTTTTTCTATATATTTTTAGTTGGCCAATTAAATTCTTTCTATTTTTAGTAGAGACGGGGTCTCGCTCTTGCTCAGGCTGGTCTCGAACTCCTGACCTCAAGTGATTCTCCCGCCTTGGCCTCCCAGAGTGCTAGGATTACAGGAGTGAGCCACTGTGCCCGGCCCACAGAGCACCTTTACTCCTTAGCTCCATGAGAGAGGGGTACACCCCATGTTCCAGAGGATGCTGGGGCTAGCAGAAAGCAAGGACAGGATATGGATCCAGGCTGGGAACCAGAGGGGTCCAGAGACTCTGAGTCAAAGAGACCTTGCTCAAGTTCAAGTTCTAGCCCCCACGTTCTCTGAAATCTTAGGCAAGTTTTGTTAGAGGCCTCAGTTTCCCCATCTTTAGTAAGGGGAAAGGTAAGGGTCCCTCCCTCCTCTTATGAAGTTTAAAATGGCACACAGGAAAGGCTCAGCAAACATGAACTACTATTATTACCATTAGTATTATTATGCTGGTCATTGTTTTTATTAGTTCATAGAGCCCAGGAGCTGAACTCACCTATAACTTGATGGTACAGCGAGGCTTCTCAGAAAACTCCCCAGTGGGTGGGAGAGGGCCAAGCCTGATGAAAACCTTCCTGGCGTTTGAGCCTCGGTGTACTCCTCTGTAAAATGGGTGTGATGAGGAAACGCCCTTGCTGGCTGGTATCAGGGGTAGTGGAGATACTGGCAAGTGGTGGCCTAGGCTGGACTGAGTGTCCCTCCTCCACCGGCCTAAGAGTCACCTCCCCATCCGGTAGCATCTTCGACCGCGAGGACCAGGCCAGCCCGCGGCCCGGCAGCCTGGCGGCGCTGGAGAAGCGCCAGGCGGAGAAGAAGAAAGAGCTGATGAAGGCACAGAGTCTGCCCAAGACCTCAGCCTCTCAGGCGCGCAAGGCCATGATAGAGAAGCTGGAGAAGGAGGGCGCCGCGGGGTGAGCGGCGGAAGGCGGGGATGGGCAGTGGGGGGCGGGGTTTGATGACTGCAGAGGCGGGGCTTGGGTAGCGGGGGCGGGGCCGAGGGCGGGAAGAGGGCGGCTTGATCTGTAGTGGGAAGGGTCTGCAGGTCATGGAAGGCGTGGCCTGGGGTCTGTGGTCTGGTAGCCTTGTGACCTGGTCCTGACCCGCCCCCACAGCAGCCCGGGCGGACCCCGCACAGCGGTGCAGCGCTCCACCAGTTTCGGGGTCCCCAACGCCAACAGCATCAAACAGATGTTGCTGGACTGGTGCCGAGCCAAGACACGTGGCTACGAGGTGAGCCCTAGGACACCAGGTGGCCCAGAGGCCTCCCAAGACCCCCGCTCAGCACCTCCTTCTTGGCAGAACTCCTTTCCATTCCCCTGTACACTTCACAGCCACCGTGTGGCCTCGCAGGGAACATGGAAAGCCTTATTATGGGATGAGGCTCAAGGAGGACACATGACATGCCCAAGATTCCAGAATAAGTGGTTAAGTGACAGACAGGGCCTAATGAGGGCCCCCTGGGTGGTGGGCACAGTTCGAGGCCAGACCTCACCCCTGGAGTCCCCTCCTTGCTGCTTTGTGGGGGGCACTGGGTAAGTTTCTATAAATGAGGGAAGGCGTGATGGGGGATGACTGTGGCCATGGCTGGGTGGCACTGTGCCTCTCGGGAGCTCTGTCCCCCTAAATCTTAGATGTAGAAGTTGACAGACCGAGTTGGAGGAGGCTCACATCCTGACTGCTCACTCGCTGTGCAGCCGTGAGCAAGCTACAGGGCTTCTCTGTGCCCAGCTGCCATAGGTCTGGAATGCCAAAGCACTGGGAGGTCGAGGGCATAGGGGAGCTGCCCCCAGGGTCCTGACCAGCCCCTCTACCACCCATAGCACGTGGACATTCAGAACTTCTCCTCGAGCTGGAGCGATGGGATGGCCTTCTGTGCCCTGGTGCACAACTTCTTCCCTGAGGCCTTTGACTATGGGCAGCTCAGCCCTCAAAACCGGCGCCAGAACTTTGAGGTGGCCTTCTCATCCGCTGAGTAAGTGCAGTCCCCAGCCCTGTTGATGTCGCTGGGCATCTGGGGCTGGGCATCGGGGCCAGGCCCTGTTGTCCTGAGACCTGCTGGAGCCAGCCAGCCACACTGTCAGTCAGCAGCTGAGAACCCCCTTCCCCAGAGAGTCCCCGTCCTTCTCCACCCCCGCCCACCCGATGCTGAGCGTGCCAGGTGCCCGCCGGAACGAAGGAGCCGCAGGCCCGCCCACCAACCTGGGCCAAGGCCTACCAGGTGGCCCTGTCCATGCCTCCTCCATCTTCCCTCTGCCCCCTTCTCCCTCTCTCTCTCCCTTTCTCTGTCCTGCTCTCCTCCCACTATCACCAGAGCTTCCTGCTCCCACGGGATCCCGGCTGGAGATTCCAAAAGGAGGCTCCTGGCCCGGGCACCGTGCCCGCCCAGCCTATATAGGTGCTACCAGAGGCTTATATAGGACATCAGCAAGCCCTCCACTTTGGAATCATTGCCCCATCTGCTCACCTCACCCTCAGCACCCTCCTCCATCTGTCTTTCCTCTCCCCTCCTCTTCTTGGTTCCCCCAAATTTCTTCCTCCTCCTCCTCCTCTCCCCACCTCCTCTCACGCCTCCCTCACCCCCCTCCCTGGGGCACAGCCCTCCTCTCCAACCATGGCGCCAACGCCATTGCCCCCCACCCCGCATTCCCGCTTGTCCCAAGAGTTCTCTGCACCTGTGACTGGTTTGGCCCCCACCCCTGTCTGCATTGCACACCATTAGTGATGGGTAGCGAGCGGCACGTCCACGGTGGGGAGGGGGCATGCGGGGGGCTGGCAGATCGCAGCACTGGGAACGTAACTGAACTCATGTCTCTGTGTGTGTACGTGTGTGTCTCTCTTCTCCTCCCCTCTCTCTTCTCTGCCTCTTCCCTTTCTTACCTGCCTGGGCGCTGGCCCCCTGCCCCCCTGCCCCTTCCCGGCCCCCTACCCTCCCCAGGACCCATGCGGACTGCCCGCAGCTCCTGGATACAGAGGACATGGTGCGGCTTCGAGAGCCTGACTGGAAGTGCGTGTACACGTACATCCAGGAGTTCTACCGCTGTCTGGTCCAGAAGGGGCTGGTAAAAACCAAAAAGTCCTAACCCCTGCTGGGGGCCCCACGGTGAGAAACGCCGCCTCTGCCACCTGCCCCGCTTCACTGGAATCTGCTCAGCAGGGCACACAGAGAGGGGCCCAGGAGGTGGGTGGGGGAAGCAGGGGAACCCTTAGAAAAGCCACAGGAACAAGACATGGCCCTGTCTCCTGGTCGTTCAGGACCTAGCAGGTGGAACCATTCTCAGTGGGCAGTGGTGACAGGTGAGCAGGACTGGGATGGGGAAGCCCCGGCGGGCACCTGACCCAGGCTGCAGGTCTGGGACAATCTGAAATCAATGCATACTAAGCTGGGATCCACAAGTTCAGGCTAAGGGAGGGAGAAGGAGTTCTAGGCAGAGGGATCAGACTATGCACGGGGCAGCGAGGAGAGAGGTGGGGAGTGTGGGACACCCAGGAAGGGAAGGAACTTGAGTCCGGGTGTGAGGGAAGAGGCAGGGGCCACACGCAGGAGTTTGAACTTCCTCCTGAGGACAGCAGGAGTCATAAAATGTTCCCAAACAGAGGAGGGATGGATGTGGTCAGGTTAGCATTCCAGAACAATCCTTGGATGAGGCCTGCATGAGAGATGGGATGGACTAGATGACTGGAACAAGCTTAAGCAGAAGGACACAGGCATTTTGGGAGGGAGCAGGAGGGGCAGGAAGCCTCCCAGGTTTCCAGTCTGGGGTGTTGCCATACTGTAAAGTGCGGAGTTCAGAAGAGGGGCCACGAAGATGTTTCTGGTTGGAGATTCCGGATCCCCAAGCCAGCTGTGGCATTTCCTCTCTGGTCACCTCAGCTCAGGGCCACAGTAGAGAATTCACATCCTGAGCTAACAGCCCCATTACAGACAAGAGGCTCAGAGAGGGCAAGAGGGTTCAGGGTTTCCTGGGGGTTGGTGGGGGGTAGGTCGGAGATGGGGCCTGAAACTGGGATTCCAGGCTCCCCACTTAGTGGCTCTTAGCCTTGCCCCATCACTGTTTTCCCATCCAATTTGAAGAGAGGATTAAAAATAGAACTCCAGAGGGAACAGGGGGGTTGCCCAAAGTAATGAGTCACACAGCTAGCTGGGGGTGCACTCGGATGCCCCTCAGGCCTGGAGCCCTTGCAGGGGACAGTCCACATGGGCACACATATATTCAGAGGAGCAGTGCAGGTGAGGGAAGGATGGGCTTGGTGCTGTCTCCAGGTCATATATGGACTTTGGAGCTGCTGGCCAGCAGGCTGGCCTGGAGGGAGAGGGGCCCAGCTGAGCCCTGATCCAGTTGGAAAGTGTGACTCAGCCATGTTGTTCAAGTTGCCTGGTGTTTGGCCTGTCACTGGGGCAGCCTGAGCCCTGAGCCCTGAGCCGTGAGCCCCAGTGTAAACAATGTCTTTATAAGGTCTCCAGGGAAGGCACCGAGGGTGGGAGGGAGCTCTAGGTTGGGGAGGGAGGCCGGGATCCCCGGGAAGATAGCCACAGCCAAAAGAAGCTTCAGAGGGAGGCTGCCTCTGTACCATGCTACAACTGGGAAACAAGCCCAGTATGGGGTAGGGATGACCCCAAGGGCACAAAGCACATGGGCAGCAGAGCCAGGAACCTCTCTGTGCTTCCAGGGTCTCAAGTGAGGTAGGGAACGACTATTTGGTTACAAAGAAGGGGAAACTGAGTCACAGAACTGGGCCTTATCTAGCATCCACAGCTCGCCAGGGGTAGAAGAACCTGGACTGAAACAGAGGTTTTCTGCTCCCCAGCCTCCTTCCTTGAAGGAGTCCAGGTGAGCTGGGAGTAGGCCCAGCCCTACCACAGTCCCAGGTTTGACCATGAAGGCCCAAGACAGGAAGTGGTCTTGGGCTCTCAGATGTCTTGGGAATGAGAGCGATTCTTGCCTGTATGCCTTCTCTGCAAAGGAAACTCATTCAACAACACTGACTGAGCATTTACTAAGTGCCAGGCATGGCAGATGAGAGAGAGCAAACAGGGAGCCAGGCAGAGGGGTCTTGCTCTGGGAGAGGAGGGGAAAAGGAACCAGAGAGCACACGCCAGCTTTAGAGCTCTGGGGCTGTCAGTTGCTTAGTAGCAGCTCACTCACTCGAGTGGGGAAAGGGCTGCTCCAGCAGTGGGGAAGAGGCGGCTCCAGGCTGGTGCCAACACCCAGGACTGGGGGCCTGGGTCTCATGAGACCCAGCTCTGCACATACTAAGCTGTGGGGCTTGAAACAGCGCCTCTGCTCTGTGACTCAGTTTCCCTGTAAAGTGCAGGGAGTTTATCTGTAAAGTGCAGCTAGCACTCTGAAGGATGGCCAGAGAGGTGGTCCCATCTCTGAGCACAGTATAGATGGTCTAGTTGGTATTGGCTGGGATCCTCATCTGCCTTCCCGGCTCTACTCAAGGCAGGTGATAAGGGTTAATGAACCTCCCCTACCCCCGTCCACATACATTCCCTGGCATCTCTCTCCAGCAGCAAAGCTGTGTGTGTCCCCCACTGCCCAAGGAGGGGGGGTGGTCCCCTGGGCCTCTCGGCAGGAAGTACCAGGTCAGGAAACTAGCAGATAATCATCAGAGGGTCACTGGGGGCCATGGAGAAATATTTGCCAATGGTGAAGCCCCCTCTGGCTGCAACAGCGCAGCTGAGAGGCCTGTGCAACTGCAGTATGCCAGCGAGAGTGCGCAGAAGGCCGCCCTCCAGGGAGAATGTGGGCAGGACCCGGAGCCAGGCCCTCCCCAGGGCTGGGGGAAACACAGACCCCGCGCCGGCCTGATTGCGATGGCACTCTTCTCCCCCCCTGTCCACCTCCACCTGCCTAGCTCTGCTCCCCGACAGGAGTGCCTTGAGCTTGGGTGGGTGCGGCCAGGGGCTTCCTGCCTTCCTAGAAGGCTTTCCCGGTAATCCAGGAAAAGTCTGGAGTTTATGAAAGACCCGCAGACTACGGCAATGAAAAGACCTTGGGGTAAAAGGGCGCTGCGAGAGGCGGGGCCCGCGCTGACAGCCACCCCGGTGCCCCCTCCCCGCAGGATGCTAGTGGACTGCGTGCCCCTGGTGGAGGTGGAGGACATGATGATCATGGGCAAGAAGCCCGACCCCAAGTGCGTCTTCACCTATGTGCAGTCGCTCTACAACCACCTGCGGCGCCACGAGCTGCGCCTGCGCGGCAAGAATGTCTAGCCTCCCCGCCCGCACGGCCCGCCCGCGGCGAGCTGCCGCCCCACCTTCCGGGCACCGTCCCTCCTGTGCGCCTGCCCACCGCCGCCCCGTCTGTCGCGACACCCTCCCCCACACACGCAGCGTTTTGATAAATTATTGGTTTTCAATGATCCTGACTCCTTCCTGCCTCTCGGGGGTGGGGGGTTTGAGTAAAAGGCAGCTCGCAGAGTCTCAACTCCCGCAGCCAGGCCGCTGGGGGTGCGAGGTCCCCTGGGGGACTTGGGAGACTCCTATTGCGACCGCTCACCCCACCCGCCCGCAGCAAGGAAGGACTCGAGCCTCGGTTAAGGCAGAAGGGATTTAGTGGAGCTGGGGGTGGAGGAAAGCGGGTTGCGAAGGACCTCCCCAGTCCCATTCCTGCAGGCTCGGGGACGGGCGTCGGCCCTCAGCAAGGGAGGTGCTCCCGGGATGCTGAGCGCTTCATTCGGTCTCCGGACTCAGGCAGGGGGGTCCTAGCTCCGCCGCGTCCCCGGACCTACAGGTCGGCGCGGTCCGAAGCTCCCTCGGCGGACTTGGCGGGCGCCCACAGGTACTCGGGGGGCACTTGCGCGTCGGGCGCCGCCTTGCGGTAGAAGCCGAGCTCCTGCACCAGCGCGTTGATCTCGTCGCGGGTCATTTCGCTGAGCGGGATGCGCTGAGGCGGAGGGGCGGGGTCAGCGCCTGGCCCCGCCTCCCGCCCCGCCCCCGCCCGCCCCCTCGGCCTTACCTCCAGTTCTTCAAAGCGGCGGCCCAGCAGCACGAGCTCGGGGTCGGCCCCAGGGAGGTGCTTCATCACCAGGTTGTGGCTGGAGGCGGCGTTAAGGCGGGTAGCGCCGTGCTGATGTGGACAGAACTGCCCCGTTTGCTGGGCGCTCACTCCGCGCCCGGGAGGGGCGGGATCTCCATTTACACGTGAGAAAATTAGGGTTCGAAGACGCAAAGGGCCCTCCTCTCTGTGCCAGTCTTCCCTAGTCAAGCCCTCTTGCCGACACAACGTGGAGACCACATCAGAGTCCCCTGGGCAGTCGCTCCCAATCAATTCCACACTTGCCATCCCTGTCTGTGCAGCTGAGCGGATGGAGATCCCCCCGTGCCCTCCCATCTCCCCGTCCTCAGAACAGGAGAAGGATACTAGAATGGAATGTCCTGGGTGACGAAAGCCTTCACCTGGGGAGGAACCAGAGCATTAGAGATCGTGGTCCCAACCCCGCCCGCCCCCGGACACAGACGGGACACTGAAGTCCAGCGAGGTCCCGCAGCAAGTCAGGTGCTCCTGACTGCCAGCCCAGGGATCCTCCCCCTTCCCTAATAATTGAGACCACGTTGCCCACTCCCCAAGAGGCTCAGGGGAACACAGCTGGGGACGCGTTCCTTCAAACTCACCTCCTTTAGGCGGTTCAGCTGTCATCCCCCACAGGTCTGGAGGGGGACAAAATGGGATAGGTCAGGAGTCCTTCACGTCTCCCCCAACCACACCCTCAGAGCCATTGCATCGTCATCGCTGAATTGGGTCAGGCTGTGAGTTATCCCTGAACAGCAATTCCCAACGTGTGCAGCAGATGGAAGTCCCTTGTGGGCAGGAGGGGAACTCTGTACCGTGGGGAAACTCAGGCCTAGCGACACCAGGGGAGAGGAGGAAGGCCAGAGACTTACAGTGTGCTCTCCTGCCTTGGGGCTCTTGCCTGAACATCCTAGTGACTCACTCCCAATGCCCAGGAGAAATGATCACCCTGCTCCTCTCAGGCAGTAGAGACCTGGGCCTGGCCTTTGACCCCTGAAATCTCAGAATGGAGGCAGACCAGAAGGAAACAGCCCATAACTTCCCTGGGGGCCCCCATTAGAAACACCTGTCATCTGGTCCTACTCCATTGCAGAGAGAGCTGGCCCTGCCTGCCACCTGCAGCCCAGCCCCACAGACCATATGGTTGCTTCCCTGAAGTGGCAGGAAGGGAGGGCACCTCCCTGCATTCCCTGAGAGAAGGCCACCTCCCAGCAGGAGTCCAGATCCTAGGATCACCCATTCCAGGTCTGCCTCATCCTATGCCCTTTTGTCAGACAGAAAACTGCGGCTCAGGGCCTGTTGCGGTGGCTCATGTCAGTAATCCTGGCACTCTGGGAGGCTGAGGTGAGAGGATCGCTTGAGGTCAGGAAGGAGTTCAGAAAACTAAGGCTCAGAGAGGGGCTGTGATGGTGAAAGTCAAGGAGCAAGCCAGGGACTCCAGATTGTAATTTCCTGGCAATGAGGGAGGATGGGGAGCTCCTGCCAAGAAGGCGTTGATAGCTGAGTTACCAATTTGGTTCCCTTTGCGAATGACCCCCTTCTCTGGCTCCTGCATGGTGGGGGGGGAGATACCCAGAAAGTCTTCTCTCCCCCAGGAGAAGGAAGAGAGACTCTGGAGCTCCAAGCCCTACAACTGGGGTGGAGGAGGAATTCCAGGAAACCACGGAGTGATTTGGGGATGGGAAGTTGGGCTCCAAGGGGCAGGGTTGGGAGAGCCATAGGCCAGGACAAGAGACAGGAGACTAGGCCAGTGTGTCTGGGGACCCGCTGTCCCGCTGGGAGCTGGGAACGGGCTCGGAGTTCCAGGCCGCAAGTCGGGTGTCTCAGGCCTCCACGGTGGGTGCTGGGGCAAACTGAGGCTGGGGCGTGGGAAGGATGATTCTGGTGCCAGAGGGAAAGGGGAGAGATCGGGGTCCGGGTGGGCCCAAGGCCGGAGCGGGCGGTGGATCCACGGTATGAGGCCACCGCGCTGGAGGCCGGCGCACTCACCTCCACCCGAGCCCGGGCCAAGCCTTGCAGACGGTTCCAGTCCGGCCGGTAAGTGGTGGCGGCTGTGGCCGAGGCCACAAGCGCCGCGAGGAGCAGCAGCGGCGGCGGCGGCGGCAACAGGAGCCTCATCAGACCAGCCGAAGATGCGCAAACGGGAGGAGAACCTCCGGGTCTCTGCGCCACGTCTGGGCCCGCAGGCTGGCCCCGCCCCGCCAGAGGCCCCGCCCCGCCAGAGGCCCCGCCCCGCCAGAGGCCCCGCCCCGCAAGAGGCCCCGCCCCCAGCGCGGTCTCCGCCCGGGCCCGCGTAGTTGCCTCCCGCTAGCTCCCGGCCGGGTCCCAGCTCCTCTCCCGCGCCCGGGCCTTCGCGTTCCCAGTCCAGGGAGGGCCCGCGCTCCTTCCGCCGATGGAGTGTGGACACTCCCGCAGGATGCGGCCGGACAGCGCCACCTGTCGCCCGCAGGGGGTGCAAGCGAGACGCTGACGGATACGGAGTTTCTGGGCCAGACCCTCCACTTTTAAGATAGGGAAAGTGAGGCCGGGGAATCATGGTTTGTGCTTTTTATTTTGGGGGACGAAATTCCAATGAAGGTTTCGATTCTCCAAAGCGCACATTGTGGTGATGCAATATGACCTGCCCTGGAGGGGGTGGCGGATACAGGGGTTCATGCACGTCAGGCTCGTTAGAACAGTACCTGGTGCAGCGTGAGCTTGCACAGTTCCTTCCTTACCTCGTAAAGGTTCTGTGAACTCCGTTTTGCAGGTTAGGAAACGGGCTCAGAAAGGTGAAATGATTAAATTGTGCTTCTGGGATTTGAACCCAAGATATGTATCTGTGCTCATCTCAGCACAGCAAAGATAACCGTATCAGGATGCCACGCCCCCTCTTCACGAGCCCTGGGCAGACCAGCAAATCTGTCACTGTGCTCTTTCCCGCTGAATCTAGAGAATCCTCTCAACATTGAGCTCAGACTGCAGTATGACTGTCGTGGCTCCTAGAAATTTTTGCCTTCCTGGGCCCCTTCCTCCATTAAAAATATATATGTTAAAAATTAGGCCCAGAGTGGTGCCTCACGCCTGTAATCCTAGCAATTTGGGAGGCTGAGGTGGGAGGATTGCTTGAGGTCAGGAGCTCAAGACCAGCCTGAGGAAGAGCAAGACCACATCTCTAATAAAAATTTAAAAATTAGCTTGTGTCATGGCGCACCTCTAGTCCCAGCTACTCGGGAGGCAGGAGGATAGCTTGAGCCCAGGAGTCTGAGGTTGCAGTGAGCTACGACAATGCCTTTGCACTCTAGCCCTGGCGACAGAGTGAGACCCTGTCTCAAAAAAAAAAAAAAAAAAAAAAGATTTTACAACTGCTTTCGTAAAAAGATGAATATAAATCAGGCTGGGTTCATTATCATATTATTATTATATGTTTTCCTTCCAATTTTAAAAGATATTAAGATTAAAACATTTTCATAGACCCCTAAAAGTATCAGGAGCTCTAGACACAGAGCCTACTGTGCCTAATGGAGAAATCAAGTCTGCATGAGTTCTTTGCTTGCAGCCTGCTACCTCCCCTTCACTTCTTGATTATAAAGATATAAAAATAACAGCAGGACCAGTGGCTCAGGCCTGTGGTCCTAGCACTCTAGGAGGCCAAGGTGGGAGGATTGCTTGAGCTCAGGAGTTTGAGACCTGCCTGAACAAGAGTGAGACCCCATCTCTACTAAAAAAAAGGAAAAATTAGCGGGGTGGCTAAAAATAGAAAAATAATTAGCCAGGTGTGGTACATGCCTGTAGTCCAGCTACTCAGTAGGTTGAGGCAGGAGGATTGCTTGAGCCCAGGAGTTTGAGGTTGCTGTGAGCTAGGCTGACGCCACAGCACTCTAGCCCAGGCAACATAGCATGGGAGATCCTGTCACACACATAAAAAAAAAGATAAAAATAACAGGCTTAGGCCGGGTGCAGTGGCTCACGCCAGGTGCGGTGTCTCATGCCTGTAATCCTAGCACTCTGGGAGGCCGAGGCGGGCAGATTGCTCGAGGTCAGGAGTTCTAAACCAGCCTGAGCAAGAGCGAGACCCCATCTCTACTATAAATAGAAAGAAACTAATTGGCCAACTAATACATATAGAAAAAATTAGCCGGGCATGGTGGCACATGCCTGTAGTCCCAGCTACTTGGGAGGCTGAGGCAGAAGGATTGCTTGAGCCCAGGACTTTGAGGTTGCTGTGAGCTAGGCTGACGCCACAGCACTCACTCTAGCCTGGGCAACAAAACGAGACTCTGTCTCAAAAAATAAAATAAAATAAAATAAAATAAAATAAAATAAAATAAAATAAAATAAAAACAGGCTTAGAGCTGTTATTTAATAGCC